GGGGCCCCGGGGGACCAGGAACCAATTATGTGTGCTGGGCGTGTGGGCAACCCCAACCTTGGTGTTCTTGCTGCAACCAAGGATGGGTAAGGGCTGTGCCCGGCACGCCGCCGCGGAGGGGCTTCGGTTCAGCTACCCAAGGCTTCGACTGGTGTTGCTCACGGGAATCTGTGGAGGGGCGCCAACATCGACCAACGGTGAGGAGGTTGTGTTGGGCGATGTAGTCATCAGTCAGAATGTTGTTCAGTATGACCTTGGGAGCCAAAATCCGGATGGCTTTGCGACCAGAGACAAGATCGAGGACGTCCTGATCCCACTCCCAAAGGATCTTCAGCATATGATCGACAACCTGGAGGCCACAGGGCGCTCGCGGCTGCAGAATCGAGTCAAGATCGTTCTCCAAGAGTTGCAGGAGAAGGCGTTGGCCCAACGTCGGGATTCGATCTACGACCACCCTGGAGCTCAACGAGACCAGCTGTTCCGAGCCGACTACATCCACAAGCACCATCTTGGTTCTTCAAGCGCATGCGCCAACCATCAAAGAAGCACGGATCCGATTTGCGCTGCTTCTCGTAAGCTGGCCTGTTGCTTGACTGGTTGTGATGAGAGATTCCTGGTCGAACGAAAGCGCGTGGTCGAAAAGTATCAACACGAGAGGGAAGGTCGCCAGTCGGAAGCGCAAACGCCACACGTATTCATAGGATGCGTAGCTTCCGGCGACATGGTCGTCAGGAGCGGCGAGGCCCGTGATCGACTCACCCAGCGTCATAATGTGGTGGGTTTTGAGATGGAGGGTGCAGGTCTGTGGGGAAACCTGCCGTGCCTTGTTGTCAAGGGCGTGTGCGACTACGCCGACAGTCACAAGCAAAAGGGATGGCAGAACTTTGCTGCGGCTACGGCAGCATCGACGGCAAAGGCTCTCATTGAAGAGTATGCGGCTCTGTCTATGTGTGTTGTTGGACCAGGCACGAGTATGAAGGTCAACAAGAGCATGGCCCGCTACGCCATGGTTAATAATGCCAGCGCGTTCCAGCGTAATGGCTCATTCCGATAAGAAGCTCGATCTATCGTCCGCATCCTCCTCTATCCACGACTACATGTGTTGATAAAATGTTACTGGTGTCTGCCCTCGCCAGGGGGCATTCGCGTTGGGAAACAGGAGACCTAAGGGGGTGTAGTAAGGATACTAAACCGCAAAAGGCACATGCGGAGGGCTGCAGGAAGCCCCTTATCTGTGGAGGTTCAGAAGTCAGGATTTTGTATTCTTTTTCTTTTTGGAGTAAACTGCGGAAGAACCTTTTGTACTACTTTCCATCTTTTCGCGGCAACCGGTGCTGATGTGGAGTCGGATATTTTAAGGAAGACAGAGCGTCACTTCTAGGTTCGCGGATTTTGTCTGTAAGTGGCTCGATCTTTCATGAGCATTCCATTCTCTCAAGTAGTGAGAAACGACATATAACTATGCAATTATCCCTTGAAGAGGTTCAGGCCCAGGTAGCTTGTGTTGGAAAGACAAGTATTCCCGTGGTTTTGGCTAATATGCATTGGAAAGTATGCGAAGCTGTCATCATATCTTCGTCATCTGATTGGATTGTTCTTACTTCGTGGACTTAATATTCCGCCCAGAACAAGTAGCCTGTGCTATTCCATCTGGACGCCCTGCTCATAGGCAACCAGCCCTGTCGTCAATACCTGCCAATGAAGGCGGAGACCTTAAGGGCATTGAGCGCCTGTCGACGCGCTGCTACCCAGGTACGCAGCAGCGATCGGATGCTGCGGGGTGATCCTGTGCAACTGAGTGTTGTCTTCGCGGATGTAATCTGTGGTTAAGCCATCGTGAAAGATCAGCCTAAGATCGACATGAACCTCACGTTGCTCAGGCCAAACGTGTTCCGCATTCGGTCCAAGCCACGAGGTAGACAGACGTCTTTTGCTGTCACCCTTCTAGCTCCTCATTTCGCCTGCTCACAATGGGTTCCTCAGCATGGAATGCTTCCCGCGAGCCCCACCGCCACAGACGACAGCGGCAGGTCGACGTCCCTATACCTCTCCTCCTCGCCACCCCTCTCGACGTCCCCATCACAAAAGCCGTGGATATACCCCTCCACGACAGCCGGCTCTCCCTCACCCGCCTCTTTCCTCAAGATGACTGGCGCACTCAGCTCGCTCACGGACCAGATCTCATCCTCGGCGCCCACACAGCCCGGAACGAGTGCGAGCATGCCGCGATTCCTCGTCAGGGCGATCCTGTGCGCCGTCTTGTCGCCGACGAAGGTCTCGAGGAACTCGGGCGGCACGGCCGTGGCGCTGGCAGCCACGGGTGGACTCGTGCCCGCGACGGCGTCAGCGAGGAGGTTGCGGTCGTCGAGGGTCCAGAACTGGCGGAAGGAGACGGCGTCGTCCTCGGCGTTGACGGCGTGCTCAAACTCGACGAGGCCAGTCAGGCCGTTGAGGACGGGCGAGAGGAGGCGGGCGAAGGCGTGGGTGACCTCTTCGCGGGAGAAGCCGTGCGGGTAGGCGGGGGTGTGGACGTGGGAGAGGCGGTCGCTGGAGAGGGTGCGCATGAGGGTTGCGAGACGATCTTGCTGGGTTGGGGACGGGGTGCGGACGTTGTAGGCGAGGGTCAGAAGGGTGATGAGGTGGTGAATGTCTGTTGATGAGGAAACGGGTTCGGAGACGGAGGCGATTGTGTCGATGTAGGTGCCTTGCAGGGTTTGCTCTAGGGTCTGCTCATGGGCTGAGGTCATACGGGTGGTTGTGGTTGGTGCGGTGGTGGTGGTCGTGTCAAGCTTGGAGGGCACGACTGGATTTGTGACGATGCATGCACCAGCATGGCCCTCCTTCGCCATCATATTGGAGAGCTGCATGGTGGTGTGGTGTTTGTGGTGGTTGGGCGTGATTTGCTTGCTACCTTGACATTGAGTGCTATTGGGTGACTATGGTAAAAGAGCAAGGGTAGAAATGCGACGAATAAAGCCAAAAGTCTGGCGAAGGCTTGTACTTG